GAAGCACAGTATTAGGTAGATGGTGGCAGAGGCCAGCTGGAAAGTAATGGGGGAGAGCCAGGATCAAGAGACAAGGTGATGAAGGAGAAGCTAGGCATCTAGTTGAGACTTTTCCTTTGAAGGGTTTATAGTAACTGTTTGGGAGTTTGGTTGAATTAATCCAATCCATCAGCAAGTTTTGTGTGGCCGCTTCTCACCACCTTCTCCTGTAACACTGGCCCGCGTCATCAATTCTAGTCGGAATCTTTGCAAGAGCTTCCCTTCCAGTGTCTCTGCTTCCCTCTTGCCTGTGTCACTTACTTCTCCACCCCACTACCACAAATCCAAAAAACCAAACTCACTGCCACTGAGTCGTGTCCCACTCATAGTGACCCCCATTGGGTTTCTGAGGCTGTAAGTGTTTACAGATGTAGATTGCCCCGTCTTCCTTCTGTGGAGTGGCTGGTGGGTTTGAAGCACTGACCTTCTGGTTAGCAGTCAAGTCCCTTATCCACTATGCCACCAGAGCTTCTTTCAGCTACCACAAGGATCTTATCAACCAAGGTCTTTCACTCTTACGCTTGAAACACTCCAGTGGCTGCCATGACACTTTCAATAAAGCTCAAGGTTTCCCATGAAGGCCCATGTGAACTCTGCCTCTCTCCATCATCTTCTCCTGCCACACACAGTCTCACTCTCTCTGCTTGGCTCCACTGACCTTCTTACTTGATTCTTCCAATGTGCCAAATTGTTTCCTTCCTCAAGGCTTTCCCTCCCCCTGCAATGTTCTTCTTGTAAATATCTGTCAATATCTCTGGGTCCCTAAGTGTATCACTCAAGTATCTTCTCAGATGTTACCTCCTCAAAGAACCTTTCTTGTATCACTCCCATCTAAGTCAATACTTCCTCACCGTCTCCCCCTCTGTGACTTCTGCCTACATACACAGCTTTGAACTCATCTCTTCCCAACATTAAATCATATATTTACTTGTTTAATTGTTTCTTGTCTATCAGTCCATAGAATACAAATTCCATAGGGTTGATACTCAGTCTTTCTCATGCATTGCTCTATAACAAGCACTTATAGCAGTGATTGACAAAAACCAGGTACTCAGTATGGGTCTTAGAAGAAACACAACCAGAATGGCTCCTTAGAAGCAAAGAAGACAAGACTTGGGATCATTTACTTTATACACATCACCAGGAAAGACAAGCTAGAAGAAAACATCATGTGAGTGAAAACAAGGGAAAGCTTCAATGAGACAGATTGACAGTAGTCAAAACAATAGATCCAAATAATCCAATTATCATGAAGATGTTGTAAGAGCAGATAATGTTATTTATAAGGTCCATGGCATCTAACAACAAGAAGAATAGGTGTTCGATAAGTATTGCAGGATGAATGAATGTAAGTATGATATGACTAGTTGCTGATCATTCCAGCCAGAAAAGGGTATCATGTTCATTCAGTCCATTTTCTACAGTCAGAAAAGATTTGCAAATGGTGGAAGACTAACCAGATTTTATTCCACCTGAGAAGCTTAGAATGACAGGGAGTTGAGAGCATTTTTGTTGGAGTTAAAATGTTGGATTTTTCCAGAGCCTTGCAGGAGGTTAGGGAAAGACTAAGTGACTAATGAGTGAGCTTATCAAGTCATGTAGAAGGCGGCATTGAAGGTAAACACACATGAGGCTGACCCTCTTCATGGTTCTTTCTTTGATATCAGGTTGCCGTGAAAGCAGATGTGGGCAAGAAACAAATGCCAGATAACCAGGATTCCAAGGCCTCCCTGGACTCCATGCTGGGGGGTTTGGAGCAGGACTTGCAGGATCTTGGGATTGCAACAGTGCCCAAGGGCCACTGTGCTTCGTGCCAGAAACCGATTGCTGGAAAGGTGAGCTAGGCCAAGATGACCTACAGCCATCTCCCTCTGTTTGTATGTCTGCCTTTGTCCTACCGAGGATTGTTCTCTCCTCAGACTGTAGACATGTTAGTTGTTGGTGGCAGTTCCAACTCATGATGACCCCATGTATGCAGAGTAGAACTGCTCCATAGGGTTATCTTAGCTGGGATCTTAGGGCAAACAGATCACCATTTTAGTAATTGTTAATAATGGTCACTGATTAATACTGGTGCCGCTCTGACAAGAATATACCACAAATGGGATGGCCTTAACAAACAAGAGTTTACTCACTTACAGTTTGGAGGCTTTAAGTCCAAGTTCAAAGTGCGAGGCTTTAGGGGCTGG